GCTTGAGGATGTGCAGTCTCTTCTTCATTTCTTTCTCTCCATCTTTTCCATCTTCTTTATTATCTTTAAGATCGCCATTGTTGATCTGGGATTATCATTGTAGAGATTTGATTTTTTAGTAACTTTTAAGAATTAAACTTACTGCATTGATATATTTAACCTGAAAGAATAAAAAAGTATTCATCTGAGAAGAATAGAAAAATATATGAATCTAAGTCAAGAGTAATAATATACCTGATAAACATTTAAAAATGACAGAGAAAAATTTGAACACCAAAATTAGAGATTAGGAACCAAAAAAGAAGGATGAATATGAAAAAAAAAAAATCGATGGAAAAGAAGAGAGAGAGAGCATTTGAGTTATATAAGAGATGAATCGGTTTGAAATTGTAACATGATTATGGAAACTACTCAACTGTTTCAAAAATAGTGGTGGTCTTTGGAAGAGAAAAAATAGGAATTTTAAAAGTAAGGGATCAGAAAATTAAGGATATTTTGCTACTTTTTTGTTTTTTTTTTCCCTGCTAATCGTGGTTAAACTAATAGTTTAGTTCTGTGTTTTTATTTTGCTTTAAATTATTTTTTATTTAGATGATTTACTACATCATGTAATTTCTCTTCTTCCTTCTCCTTCCTTTGTTCTCGCTCCATGACTCTGTCAAAAAAGAAAAAAAAGTCTCGCCATCTAAGCGCGGTGAGCTCCTCCAAGTTCGCTCAGGTGGCGGCAGTGGCTCGTCAAACCTCCGCTAGCTCATTCGCCGCCGTTCCTCCGGTCTCTGATGGCGGATCTGGTATCTCCCCGCCGTTTGTGCCGTCATCCTCTTCTCCCTCTCGATCCGGTGTTCCAGATCTGAGGTTGGATCAAATCCCGGTGGTGGATCCCATCCATGTCCCCGTGGTTCCCCCGGCACCTCTTCAGGAGGCTCTTGCCTCCCCTGTTGATACCTCAGTCCCAAACTCGGCCGCCGTAGAAGGTTCATCCTCCGGTGCTGTCCCTGGTGACCCCTCTGCCACTCTGGATGCTCAGGAGAGCCAGCACCGGAAATGGGCATCGATTGTCAAATCATCTGGTATTCTAGATGCTATTGGTACCCCCTCCAAGCATATCTCAGGAGTTCCCTTCGTCATGATTCCAGACGCCAACATCGAATCGGCGAAGGAGGAGTTCAAGGATTTCGTCTTTGCTAGATTCCATGGTGATGCGTCTGAAATGGGTCGAATCATCGGTATTGTCAACACCATCTGGGCTCGTGTGGGACCTAGAATCTTCGTTCATAGGATTGGTCAATCAATCTTCCTCCTCAGGGTAATGAACTCCAGAACTCGAGATATTATCTTAAGTCGTAACATGTGGAACATTGCAGGATACCCAATGTTTGTGGCGCCATGGTCACCTGAGTTTTCGCCGGAGGTGCCTCCGCTTACATCTGCTGTTGTGCCGGTGGAATTTAGGAATGTTCCCTATCTCCTGTTTAACAAGGAAAGCCTAAGCCGGATTGCAACTGCGGTTGCGCATCCAGTCAAGCTAGCTCCTGAAACTGAGCGTAAGGAGAACTTCGAGGTAGCCAAAGTCTATGTTCGCATCGATCTGCAAGCAGAGCTTCCTTCAAAAGTGATGTCGGGTTTTTCCAATGGCAAGGAAATCCTCATCTCTATCTCGTACCCGTGGATGCCAGTTAAATGCTCTGCCTGTGGTCGATATGGTCATGCTGGAGTTAACTGTCACACCATTTCCTCCCAACCGTCATCTACTGGCAGAACTTTAAGTCAGTCTCCCATCAGGGGTATAAGACAGCGTATCCGTAAATCAAGATCCGGAAGATCCAAGGCCAGGAAGGTTACTGAACCCACCAGCGAGAAAACCCGTGGCAGGACCCCTGGTGAAGAGCCCTCCGAAGTGAAAGATTATGTGAACTCGGATGCTAACACTGGACACGTGTGGAGGAAGGTTGATAGACCAATATTGGGGTCTGCCTCAGTCAGCTCAGATTCGAACAAGTTGTCAGCAGGCGCTGTGGTCCAGTTAGACAAGGAAACTGATGCTATACCCAACAATCAAGAGCTGCGTGAGGTTCCTTCGGATACTCATAATCCTGAGAGAGGGGAGAATTCGGAGATGCCTGCTTCTACTCAGGAAGAGGATGTTAAGAATGATGATCCACCCTTCTTCTTGGTCTCCTACAAGAAGAGTGGCCGCAAGGCCAAAAAATCCATTTAATCTATCAGTATATCGTTTTTTTGTGTGGAATATAAGAGGGCTGAACAGTAACCGATGCCACAGTATGGTCAAAGACTGGATTAATATCCACAGACCTCTTTTTGGAGCGTTCTTAGAAACGCATATACAAGGAATAAATGCAAGGCGTATATCTAGAGCTTTGCCGGCAGGATGGAATTTTTTTGGCAATTTTAACCACCACAACAATGGAAGGGTTGTGGTAGTTTGGGATCCTTCGGTTACAGTAATGATATACCAAGTATCAGCTCAGACAATCACTTGCGGGGTGTCTGTGCCAGCTAGTAGTTTGAATGTTACAGTTAGTTTCTGCTATGGGTTTAATCAGGTGGAGAACAGGGTCCCTCTCTGGAATGAGCTCGCGTTGATTAACTCATCCACTCCTGCAACTCGTTTTCCTTGGGCTGCAGTCGGTGACTTCAACCAAATTCTTCGAGTCTCTCATCACTCGCATCACCTCATTTCTGATATTGACACTTCGGGTATGGAGGCTTTCAACATTGCATTGCAAGATGCTGATTTGTTTGAAGCCCAATCGAAGGGCCTACCGTTTACTTGGAGGAATAACCAAGCCGACCCGATTTCTACAAAGATTGACCATGCTTTCATAAATCAGGCTTGGTCTTCACTTTTTCCAGACTCTTATGCTGAGTACTTGGACCCGTCGCAGTCTGATCATGCGGTTTGCCTGTTTCGTATTCCCTCCCATCAGCAGCGTTCTCGTAAACCTTTCAGATTCTTTCATCATGTTATTGACCACCCATCTTTTGCTAATATTGTCAAGGATGCCTGGGACTGTGACAATGTTACTGGTTCGTCGCAGTTCAAGCTTGTGCGAGTTATGAAGTGCTTAAAGAGGAATCTGAAGAGTTTGAACAAAAGGCACTATAGTGGTATCTCGAATAGAGTCAAAGAGCAGGAATCTATCTTATCCGATCTCCAGCGATCTCTTCTTACGGCGCCTGACCCTCTGGTTGCCGCTCAGGAGAAGGAGGCGAGGGAAATATGGAATAAATTGAAAACGGCTGAGGAGAAGTTTTACAGGCAAAAATCAAGAGTACAATGGCTGCACTCGGGGGACAGAAACACATCCTTCTTTCACCGTATGGTGGCTGAGAGGGTCACTAGAAACCACATCCATTTCCTAAAAGACATTGATGACCGTGTGATTGGATCGATCGCTGAGATCAAAACCTACTCTGCAGAATACTTCAAAGGGATTATCGGGCAAACAGATCTGCCTATCTCCCCTTGCTCAGTTAGTCAACTCCAAGCTCTTTTACCTTTCAGATGTTCCGATGAGCAGAAACAGTCCCTTCAAAAGGCTGTTGCTCCGGAGGAGGTAAAAGCTGTTGTCTTCTCCATGCCCCTAAGCAAAAGCCCAGGACCGGATGGCTATTCTGTTGAGTTCATCCGTGCTTCTTGGGACATAGTCGGTAAAGATGTCACTGGTGCTGTAATGGAGTTCTTTAGGAATGGTCGGTTGCTGAAAGATCTTAACAACACCGCGATTACTCTCATTCCAAAGTCGCCTGAAGCATGCAAGCTAGGTGACTATCGACCTATTAGCTGTTGTAACATCGTCTACAAAATCATCTCTAAGCTGATAGCGAACAGACTAAAACCAGTGCTCCAGCAGTGTATCAGCCCTAACCAGGCCGCATTCCTCAAAGGGAGGAGCTTAGGTGAGAATGTGCTTTTATCCTCTGAACTAATTCGGGACTACAATAAAGTGTCCTGTCAGAAGAGCTGCATGCTTAAAGTCGACATCAGAAAGGCCTTCGATATGGTGTGTTGGGATTTCGTACTTAAAATCCTCCAGGCTCAGGATTTTCCCCCCATTTTCACGACATGGATCAGAGAATGCATCACCTCGCCGCGCTTCTCTATCTGTGTGAATGGTGATCTCGCTGGTTTTTTCGCTGGAAAGAAAGGTTTAAGGCAAGGTGACTCCATCTCTCCTTATCTTTTCATTATGGTAATGGAAGCCCTATCCAGACTCTTTGAGAATTCTGTGGATAATGATAAGATTAGGTTGCACCCTAAATGTGAGAATCCTAGGATTACTCATTTGCTTTTCGCCGACGACCTTCTTGTTTTCTCTGATGGGTCGATTCAGTCGCTGCTTGGGATCAAAGAGGTTATGGCTGAGTTTAAATCATTATGCGGGCTGGACATGAATGTCTCAAAAACGGAAATCTTCTTTGGTGGATTCGATGATACGACTATGGATATGCTTAGTAACCTTTCTGGTTTCAAGCTTGGATCTTTTCTCACTCGGTACTTGGGGCTTCCGCTGAACCCCTCTAGGATCTCCCTGGCTACCCTGCAGCCGATTTTGGAACGCATTACCCGGAAACTGCACTCTTGGACAGTTAAACTTCTCTCCTTTGCTGGTAAAATCCGCCTAATCTCTTCAGTTATATACGGAATGGTAAACTTTTGGAGTTCTGTCTTCGTCTTGCCTAAGAGTTTCTACAGAAAAATTGACTCCTTATGCTCGGCTTTTTTATGGAAAAATAAAACATCCTCTGCTGTGGGCGCTAAAGTCGCTTGGTCAGATGTTTGTAAACCAAAGGAGGAAGGTGGTCTTGGGATTCGTCTTCTAGAGGAGTTTGAGCTTGTTTTCAGGCTTAAGCAGATATGGAACTTCTTTTCTTCTTCCGGATCGCTGTGGGTGGCGTGGTTAAAAAACTACATTTTCCACCGAAAGAGTTCCTGGCAGGTGGAGGACGCTAATAGATTCTCTCCTACTATTTGGAGTATGCTTCAACACAAGACTATGCTAGTTGATTTTCTAAGGTGTGTGGTTCGTGATGGAAAAACTGCATCGTTCTGGTTTGACTATTGGACGGATTTGGGACCGCTTCACACTATATTCGGAGCCACTGGTACTCGTCAGCTCCGCCTTCGCATCTCTGCCTCTGTCGCTTGTGCAACCCGCAATGATGGTTGGCATTTGCCAAATGCTAGATCCCAGGATGCCCAGACTCTTCAGATTGTTCTCAGTACCGTCACGCCGCCTAATCCTGATAACGGACCCGATTTTTATCTTTGGCATGGCGCTTCTGGCTCTTATGTGAACCATTTCTCATCGAGAGCTACCTGGAATCACATAAGGATCACTTCTCCAACGGTTTCTTGGCATAAAACCGTCTGGTTCAAGGAACAAATTCCTCGATGCTCGTTCATCTCCTGGCTGGCAATGCTGCATCGCTTGCCTACCAAGGATCGCTTACTTCGGTGGGGCGTAAATGTGGACGGATCTTGCGTCCTCTGTAACTCGGCTTTGGAAAATCATGATCACCTATTTTTCCATTGTCCTTTTTCCTCGGAGATATGGTTGTTCTTCTCGCGCAGATTGTGGAATGGGTCTCCGCAGGGTCTTCACGCTGTTGCGGATTGGGTTGGTCACCGTTCTAGCTCCGGAGCAGCAGGCACTCAGGTCATTACAAAGCTTGTGTTCCAGGCGGTTCTGTACTCGGTTTGGAGGGAGCGCAACGCCAGGATCTTCTCCGCCACTTCTTCCCCGGTTTTGGTCGTTCATGCGGCCGTCGACAGGATGATAAGGGACCGGCTCCTTTCTTTTCCAGCCAGGAGCCTCTCTTATCCTTCTTTGCTCGAGCTTTATTTTAGTCTCCTTGTTCCCTAATATTCTTCATCTGTTTCTCTTCCTCTTTCTTCTTTTGTAATAAGTGGTCTCTCTACAACAAAATAAAATCTTAAAAGCTGGTATAAAATCTTAACATTTTCGACAAAAAAAAAAAAAAAAAATATAAGGATAACTTGACGAAAAAAGAAACAAAAATTGATAAAATCATAAAGTCTAATTTTTTTAGTCCGAATTATCTCCACTTAAAACGTCATCGTTCCAAGACGCTCTGACGTCGTGTAGAGCAGAACCTTCGTCGCCACGTGGCGTAATCTCAGCTCTTCCCTGGCCCACAGCTGTATCACGCTTTTCCCTATCGCTTTTTTAGTTTTTTTTTCCTCTCCTTCCCTGAGCCTCCTTCCACAATTCCGGAATCTTCTTCTCCTCATCTTCGAAGATCCTAAGGTTCTTATTTATTTTCCCTCTCGAGATCAATCAAAATTGTGTTATCCTATCAAGATTTGAGCGTTCTTGTTCTATCGAATCGCTGATTAGGTTTGGATTAACGAATGACTCGTGCTAAAATCTCTATTGAACATCCAGTTTCATTCAAAATTGTTTCTGTGAATTTCATCTTGTTTAATGCGTATAATCATAGCTGCGATAGAACGAAACTGGTTTAGAATTTGACGTGTTGATTAAGTTTTTTTTATATTGTGTGCTGCTGGTTTCAAAGTATGGCGTCATCAACGGCTCTGATTTGCGAGACCGAGGCTTGGAAGGATTTAAAAGTAAGTCTTTAAGGATTTTCTCTGTGCTGAGTTTGTCAAAGATGACTTTATCGGAGTTTAAGGTTTTAGATGTGATTTTCTTTTTTTTTTTGTGTGTTTTGCAGGGTCATTTAGAAGAAATTAAGAAGACCCATTTGCGTGATTTGTTGAGTGATGCCAACAGATGCCAACAGATGATGGTGTATGTGTTCTTTTCTATTCTTTCAATGTGTGATATGTATGTACATAATCTTTTGATACTGGAACTTTTCTGATACCTTTGTAAATGATTCAATGCAAATGTCGAATGTGGTCGTTTTCTCTCTTGCTCTTAAAATTATTCAACATTATCTTTCTTGCTGTGTTGAGAAGGTCGATGTTTTTTTTTGTCTTGGCATCAAATTTTGTATCACATTGCTTTGGTATCAAACCTGTTATTGGTAAATTCTGATATTAAGTATTTGCTTTGTTGGAATGCATTTTATCAGGGAATTTGACGGGCTGATGTTAGATTATTCTCGACAGCGTGCAACTGTAGAGACAATGGACAAGCTTCTGAGCTTGGCAAAGGTGAGGGAAAATGTTTATTGGTAGATTTCATATAACGGTGACGTATTTCACTCGAAATTTTTGATATTTCTATATCTTCTGAGAGTAGTTGCTCGTTTTTATTTGCAGGCTGCACAGCTGACTGAGAAGATCAGACGCATGTTCAAGGGGGAGCATGTGAGTATCTTGGATTTCCTACAATGCAACGGAAATAGCTGTTAATCTCAGTTTCATTTGATCTCATGCATTCTTTTATTATTAGTGTTACATATTAGGGATTATAAATGAAGAAATTTCTATCTGCTAGACGTCAGAGTATATGATACCTTTTCTAGTTCTTTGAGTACAGTGACACCCATTCCTTTTTCATTTCCATTGCATCATTATCTGGTGTCTGGTTTTTGTTTTGCATAACTTCTCGTATGGCTTCCTCAGATTAACACTACGGAGGACAGGTCGGTTCTTCATGTGGCTCTCCGTGCTCCAAAGGATGCAGTTATTAAGTCTAATGGAGAGAATGTGGTTCCACAAGTTTGGGGCGTTCTTGAACAAATCAAGATATTTTCTGAGAGAATTCGCTCTGGTTCATGGGTAATTCGTAGATGTCATTTAAAAACCTACCTCTATCGTTTTCATCTCCATGTGTTGACTTTTTGCATTTATTGACAGGTTGGAGCCACTGGCAAGCCGCTGAAAGATGTCATTGTAGTTGGTATTGGTGGTAGCTTCTTAGGCCCACTTTTTGTGCACACGGCTCTCCAAACAGGTGGCTGCACGCAATAGTACCTGGCCTCTTTCTGATCTTCTTTCTAGGTTGTTTTGATAATTTCTGCTTTTATATGCATGTTCATTATCAGATCCTGAAGCTGTAGATTGTGCCAAAGGACGCCAGCTGCGATTGTAAGCACTACCTACCTCTAGTTATATGGTTCCATACATACCTCCGTATTTTTTCCGCAAGGCTCTGGTATCTACATTAATGTTTCTCACATGTTCTACGTTTTCCGGATTACGTTCTTTGTTTTTAATGTTAACTTGTCTTGTGTCAATCTTTGTTTCTGCCTGGTTTTAATTTGTGTTTCTTCTTTCAGCCTTGCAAATGTTGATCCTGTTGATGTTGCTAGAAATATCAATGGACTAAATCCAGAAACTACCCTAGGTTCATACTCAAACCTATCAATAAATTCACCTTAATGATTTCCATATATGGACTTTTACTCTAACTTATCCTGAGGATACTTGTATCTCCAGTTGTGGTGGTCTCAAAAACATTTACAACGGCTGAAACAATGCTGAACGCTAGGACATTGAGGGACTGGATTATAAAGGCTCTTGGGTTAGTATTTCTCTTTGCTTGCATCCAAATTCCATGACTGCATTCATTTCGTTGTTTTGTTAGAGAATTACAATTAGCATGACTGGAGATGTTCATCTCTCTTTCACTCTATCTTTCTGAGCTATAAATCCTTCTTGACGCTATACAATATTGCCAGAAGAAAGCTTTTATGCTTTTACATTTTACAACTTATAAGCAGGTTTTTTATTCTTCAAAATATGATCACCGTTATTCAATCTGTGTTTCGGGCATGCTGGCTGAAGAGCACTTATTTAACATGTGGTAACATAACAGGGGTTCGGCTGTTCCAAAACACATGGTTGCTGTCAGCACTAATCATGTGGTATGCATCCCCATAGTTTCTTTTTGGGACTTGATTTCTTTATTGTCCACCTTAGTACAATTAAACCGAGAAACGCAAATGCTCTTTCTGATTATGTAAAATGGATGGACACATTAATCTAGTCTTTTTTAAAAAATAATTATCTACTAGGTTTAATGTACATTAATAGTCTCCATGTTCTAGGGTTTATGAATCATTTTTACTTTCTTCTACATGTTTTATATTGAAACATACAGAAAAAAACATATAAACTCTAGATGTTTTATTTAACAGAAAGTGGAGATGTTCGGTATTGACCCAAGAAATGCATTTTCAATTTGGAGCTGGGTTGGTGGAAGATATAGTGGTAAGTTCTCGTCTGGTTGGATTCATTTCTTATCCATATCCACTTGCTTAGTCTACAATTGTTGTTCTGTTGCAGTGTGCAGTGCTGTCGGAGTCTTGCCTTTGTCTCTACAGTATGGCTTCTCTGTGGTTGAGAAGTATGGTACCTTCTACTCATTAATCATCTCAGAAACTGATGTATATTCTGTTTTTTTTTCCTGAACGATTTCTTTTTTTTCTTTTTCTTGTATTCCTATTTTATTTTGAAATGAATGCTCTATGTTTCTAAATCCAGAAGACACCTTCTCACTAGACGCAATTGATATTCAGTCGTTTTGTTTTGTTTGACTGCAGATTTTTGAAGGGAGCTTCAAGCATTGATCAGCATTTCCGGTCCACACCATTTGAGAAGAATATACCCGTGAGTGCTTTGTATTAATATTCGTTAGAGTTGCTGGTCCCCAGAGAATTTGTAGTCGTCCATTAATATGTATGAGTGCATTAGGTGCATTAACAATGCTTTTATCTGTTTTCTATGTCCATTAACTCTCAGTAGAGATTCCATTAAGTTAATATTAATTAGTGTAGTCAAAGACAGAGTGAGAGGTTGATTTGGTGACTGTTGACGATTTCAGGTGCTTTTGGGCTTGTTGAGTGTATGGAATGTATCATTTCTTGGACATCCTGCAAGGGTAAGAATTGACTCCTTTGAAAGCAAGCTGATTTTCCTCGTATTAAGATGTTCAGTCTCCATCGAAATCTTTTCTTTGCTCAGGCCATCTTACCTTACTCTCAAGCCCTTGAGAAGTTTGCTCCGCACATTCAACAGGTATGTGAACTGGGTTTCCCTTTTGTCTCCTTAATCTTTTGTGCTTCATATTTGTTTTGACAAAAAAATATAAAACTGTTTACCGTCCACTAACGGAGACAGTGTCTGATTTTAGGTTAGTATGGAGAGTAATGGAAAGGGAGTCTCAATCGATGGTCTACCTCTCCCGTTCGAGACTGGTGAGATTGATTTTGGTGAACCTGGAACAAATGGTCAACACAGCTTTTACCAACTAATTCACCAGGTACTGTGCTACATATAATATAATTTTAATTCAAATTTGGATCTGGGTTTTAGCAAGCTCTCATCCCATGATAAGTTGTTGAGGATGCACTAAGGGTTTGTATGTTTTAGGGACGCGTAATTCCTTGTGATTTCATTGGCACTGTGAAGAGTCAGCAACCTGTGCACTTGAAAAGTAGGCATTACCATTCCTGTTGCTGTTAATTTGACTCGAGCTCTTTTATGCATTCCCTTTTGAAACTGACGATCAGTTCTGAATTGGATTCACAGGAGAGGAGGTTAGTAACCATGACGAGCTCATGTCCAACTTTTTTGCCCAGCCTGATGCTCTGGCATATGGAAAAGTAAGACTTTACATTTGGTCATGGAGATAGAGAGACTGATGATGACTAAGTTTCCGTTCTGAAATACACTCTTGGTTTTTGGCTTTTGTAGACACCGGAAGAGTTGCAGAAAGAGAATGTTTCAGAAAATCTCATTCCTCACAAGGTAAAAATCGTCTTGTATCGATGGTAAAAAGAGCTTTTAATTTCTCAATATATAAAACATTGTCGGGTAAAATGTTGGTATCTTGTTCCACAGACATTCTCCGGCAATCGACCTTCTCTTAGCCTTCTACTTCCAGAATTGAGTGCTTACACTGTTGGCCAGGTCTGTCCCTCTCCAAGGTTTATCAGTACTGTCTTAAGATTGAGATGAGAGGATCATTGGGGACAGCACAAAAACCGATAATTCTGTTTATGTTTTGTTTTAAGTTGTTGGCAATCTATGAACACCGAGTCGCGGTTCAAGGTTTTGTGTGGGGTATCAATTCGTTTGACCAGTGGGGAGTTGAGCTAGGAAAAGTTCTGGCTACTCAGGTGAGGAAACAGCTTCATTCATCACGTACTCAAGGAACCGCTCCCGAGGGATTCAATTTCAGTACCACAACACTTTTGAAACGATACCTCGAGGTATAATGTCTTAAACGAATCTCGCATTCTCAATTCTTGTTAATGGTTCTTCTACACCATATGATTTACACATCACTCAACTACTTTACCAGACAAATCCCAAGCCGGAGATTTGAAGTTGCATCAGACGAACCAGTCCCGTCCCGGTTTCTCCTTTCAATCAAACGTGTACCGTTCCAACGTTTTTGCAGTCTTGTTCTTCTTTTCGTCTACTTTCCCTAGTCAATACACTCTGACTGGCACTCGTTTATTATATCCTAAGGATGGATATTAGAATTTAAGCCCGAACAAACCAAAATTACGAGCATAATATGAGTCTTTTTATTTTGCAATTTATATGCCGATAATAACGTTTAAGTATCCGAAAACCCATAATCACAGGAGGTCGAGGATGAGAACCCAAACGCCAGTATATACAAAACCTCCTCGCCTTAAATATGCTAAGTTGCTAACGTCGCTTTAAAATCAGCATCGAGTGAATGAACAGTATCACACTTACGTATACTATGCTAAACACTGGAACCACACTGAGGTCTATAATCTCTTATATGGAGATAGCGAAAGACCTCGCATAACATGAATCCCTCGAGAGCTAAAGTTTCCGATGCAATGAATGAGTTCACCGGTTTTTAGGTTTATGAATGCATAAAGATGTGATGTGACTTAGGATCTCTATGCATTAGACGTTAAAGTTGAAGCCCTTTGAGTGGATGACTTTATTTATAGTCTCGATGTATCTACTCATAGAAAGTGTGATCTCAAATTTTCGCTCAAGTCTTTAATGATACAATTCAGCAGTTTCTACCAATTAGTACTTCAAAACTAGAACCGTGAACTTCAATTAATTAAAAAGATATGCAGATGGCTCGAAATTTTGGAGGACTTTTCCTTAACTTTGGTCGTGAGACCGTCATTACATGTGAGTGAACAAACGATGATGTTCTTGTGACGCTTCTAATAAGCAAGTTTAGATTTTTGGAACAAATCTCAGTCTTGACCTGTCATATCGTAAGAACTATTAGGGATAATTAAAATAATTTTTAATGTGATTGCCTATGTCATCGGCCAATATATAATTTTCATTCATTAGTAAATACTAGATAAAACTCCGAGTGTACATGCGGTAATTTATATATATAATAGTTTAGTTTATCAATAATATTATATATATATATATATATATGCAAATTTAAATTTTCTAAATCATGATAGAATTACATAATCACAAATCACTTTCTATTGTTATCTTTTTAAATTATTATTAAACATATATCTATCTGTTTATTACATATTTTCTGTTTTTTTATTAATGAAATAAAGTTAACAAATACATACATTCATCGATACACAATAAAATACCAAATATTGCATTTGTTTGTTTCAGCTTAGCTTTAAATCTCATCTCAAATCCTTTGAGTTCTGCTTAGGGTAATAAATATTAAAAACAATAATTTCTTTCTAAATATTCATTTTTCTGTTAAAAAATATAAAGTTCGAGCGTCAATAGAGTAAATATGATAAAGTTTGGGCATTATATTCTCCAGATACGTAAAGAATTTTGTCTATATGACAGAAAAATAAGGCACTACGTAAAAAAATTTTATAGCTAATTTTAGATTGAGTGAAGCATTCACTATATGTCAGTCTTATGTATCTACAAAAGATGTACGAAAACTATAAATAGAAATTGAACAGAAAACAAAATGCCTCTAAAACTTTAACTTCATTTGTTATATCGTCTGCTCTAAACCTAATATTGTTAGGCACCAGAACATTACGTATACAAAGATATCATAAATTTTCATGAATGCAATAAACAAACACTATTTATGGTTTTTTCAATGTTTTGCGAACAACAAAAAAAGTCGTATAAAACTCTAAATTAATATGGAAACAAGAAATAATTATTTTAATGGCTCATAAAGTTTTTCTAATGTATATATACATAAATTAGGAATATTGATATATATATATATATATATATAGTGTAATTACGCTACATACAGCTTGTTCCTAGCTCTCTTTCTATGAGGGAAGGATTGGTTATCATTGCTTCCTCGTAGACACGTAGAGTAATTATATCCATGAATTTGATCACCTTTATGATCTGAAACACCAAAAGTCACAATCACTGAAACAAAAGTAACACAAAAAATCTGTATTTTGGATATGTTATTTCAAGACCTTAATTCTTTTCCAATGTTCAATTTTTCAGGTGTCCTTTACGAAGTGGTAACACTACAAGTTCAATGCATTTCATTTTTATTGTAAGAGAATGACTTTTCGAGATGGAAACTACATTTGTACTTGTGTCATGGCTAATGAATTAGATTTTTTTTTGGGATTGAGAAAATTAATTTTTTCAAAAGCTGATGTGTCAAAAAAGGGAGTGCTTATGTGTCAAACTTGTGAGACTCAACTGAGTCTTTATATAATAGATTGTCATTCCTTAGTTTGTATTACAATTTCTGTAGAAATATAATAATATCATGTATAATGGAAAATACACTTTTCACATTATTGACCTCCTCTTGTTCTTTCTTTCTGCTCTCCATGATCATATAACTTTTTTTTTTTGAAAAAAATGTTACATATTATATTAAAAAAAAAACAAACTTTTTACAAACTATAATTTCGCACTGTTCGATCGAAATTTAGAAAAAATAGAGGTTGAAAACAGAGTGTGTTTGAACGTAAGCTCGGGTTAAGGAGCTCGTGTTGCAAACCACAATTGCAGACCATCTTCATACTTTCTCCTGCCGTCTCCTCTGATTATGCTGAGCCGATTTCGAATCACAATGTCTATCTTCTTGCTTAGGAGAATCTCCGGAGTTGGAGCCTCACCATGGCGTCGGAAATTTCTTTTGCACCAGATCGCGTGGATTGCTGCTTGGAACGTATACCTTAGGATGAAAGCCTTGGTCAAAGCTCCAGGGGAATGGATGACCAGATCAAGGATCTCATCCCACTTCGTCGAGAAATCAGAACCCATTAGACCTCTTACAAGCGTTTCCCATATTTTCCTGGTATACAGGCACTCGAAGAAGATGTGAACTCTGTCTTCCACCGGCTCACTGCCAAACGAACACCCTGTTGCGGCATTATTACTCCACCTCGCCATTCTGTCTCCTGTCAACAACCGGTTTTTCACTGCAAGCCAGGTAATGAAAGCGTATTTTGGGGTTGCAGAGGGAAACCAAATGCTTTTCAGGGGGTCCATTGAGCATTTGGTATCCTAATCTGTTCCCAAGTCGCTTTCGAGATGAACTGGGGTCTGTATATGTCACATGTTCCTCGTCACATTGCGACATCTTGTTCCTCGAGGATTCTAGCTCTTCTCTTTGCTTTGATTTCTTCCTCCACCTGTTTCAGACGACAATTTATGTGCCTTCTTCTTCTGTTCCCATCCATTACGTTCCCGAGAGATGCGTTAGGTGGGATTCCAAGATCAATGCATCCTCTTTTCCCAAGTTCGTCGAATAAATAACCCATGGAACTCCATTGATCAAACCAGAAGGAAGTTTTATACCCATCCCGAGGCTCAATCTTGTAAAAACCCTTCGCAATATCTCTATATTTTAGGATCTTCTTCCAAATCCAAGATCCTAAAGTAGTCGTGTCTTTTACTGCCCATAAGGAGTCTTTTGCAGGTGTTTCTGGTCTAGTTTACCCATAACGAGTCTTTTTCAGAGAGGAGTCTCCAGATGAGCTTCAGAACACATACCTTATTCACCACGTCAAGCCGTTTTAAATCCAGTCCGCCTTCAGATTTTGGTCGACAAACAGATTCCCAAGAGACCTTAGCTTTTCGAGCGTTCAGATCTTTCCCCGACCATAGAAAAGCAGCACAAATCTTATCGATTTCTTGAATACAGGCTTTGGGCAATCTGAAAGCAGCCATCCAGAAGTTTATGAGGCTATAAATCACTGACCTTATCAGCTGCAGGCGCCCTCCAAATGATAGTGATCTAGCGGTCCATGAGTTGATCTTTAGTTTGATCTTTTCGATCAGAGGCATGTAGTCTATTTTGTTCATCTTCTGGGTAAGCAAGGGGAGGCCCAGATACTTAACAGGCAGGACTCCTTGTTCAAAGGGAAATTCAGAAACAATCTCTACTCTAACATCATTGGCAATACCTGCCATATAGACTGTTGATTTCTCAATACTAATCTGAAGTCCAGAGTGCTTAGCGAAATCGTCAAAGACTGCCAGTGCTTCCAGTATAGAGCGCTTGTCTCCCTTTACAAAAATCAGCAGGTCATCGGCAAAGCATAGGTGTGTAAGAGCCAGAGATTCACACTCAGGGTGGTAACCCATTTTATTCTCTGCAGCTACTTTGTCTAATTTTTTGGAAAGTACATTCATGCATATCACAAAAAAGTACGGAGAGAGAGAACAGCCTTGTCTTAAGCCTCTAGAGCTACCAGAGTATCCTGCCAACTCGCCATTTAACTGAACTGAGAAAGAGGCTGTAGATATGCAGAGATGAATCCAATGGATGTACTCAGCAGGGAAATCCATTGCCTTGAGAACATTCACCAAAAAACTCCATTGGACTGAGTCAAAGGCCTTGGATATGTCTATTTTCAAAGAACATCTAGGGGAGACTGTATCCTTGTGGTAATTTTTAACTATCTCTGTGGCAAGCAGCAGATTTTCCATGAGCAATCTGTCTTTAACAAAAGCTGATTGGTTTGGAGCTATGAACTTGGGAAGAATGATTTTGAGCCTGTTTGCCAAGATCTTAGAAATGATCTTATAAAGGACATTACAGTATGAGATCGGCCTGTAGTCCCTCATGGTTTGAGCTTCTACCTTTTTTGGTATCAAGGCTAGGATCGTCGAATTGATGCCTTTTGGTTAGAAACCTGTTCGGAAAAAAGACTGAACTGCAACAGTAAAGTCTTTCCCTACCACAGACCAAGTATTTTTGTAGAATTCAGTGGTGTAACCGTCCAGTCCTGGGGAATTCTCGTTTGGCATTGAGAAGAGGACCCGCTTGACTTCTTTGTCTTTCACCTCATGAGTGAGAAGCATCTTATCTGCCTCTGCACATTTGAACCCAATTACTTCTTGTAGCTCGTCCACTTCCCATGGGGTAAAGTCTGCAGGTCTGTCATTTAGAAAATCCTTGAATATCTCACCGCTTCTGCTTTCATTTCCTCTGTTTTGGATACGATAGTACCATATGGGCAGGTGATCTTGCAGATTTTGATTCTGGTGGCTCTTGTTTTTATCGCATTATAGAATGCTTTGTTATTTTGAACCAGAATAGCTTTGCCTTCTGTCTCAGATATTTCTCCTCGATACAAGCTAGGTGATTCCATCTTTCATATGCAGTGCGTTCATTTGCTACAACCTGTTCGGTGCAAGAGATCATTGTTTGCTAACAGTAACGTTTGTTCCGAGCTACGTCCCTTCGGCGTTGCGCCGGGATGATTCGTTTGAGATGGACCGAATCAAGGTCTAGGAGGATGAAGCCCATGGGAAAATCCTAGGCGAAATGCAGAGGCGGTGGCCGCGCGAGGCGATAAGGAAATATTATGAAAATCTTTCCTGAAATTTTTGGCTAGGCGGTTTAGAGAATGAGTATAAATAGACGATGTGTACGATTCATTATGTAACTTTTTCACAACTCGAGAACAATAAGACTTAAACACTTTTCCAGCAAAATATCTTCTTTTGATCTTAGTGTTCTTGTGATAAATCTTAGAGATTTCGGATTCCTTAAGTTTTCTTTAACAAATTTTTGGTTATGCGAGTTTTGGCTCACACAATTTGACGCCGTCTGTGGGGAATTGAAATTTTCTTACTCAATATCGTCAAGAGCTAGAGATCCGAAGAACATGAAAACGACGCACCCAGATACGACGCGCGGAGAAGGACGCTCCACCATCAAACACGACAACGATAACTACTGAAGCCCAGGAGAAGATGCGAAACATGATGGCCACATTGATGAAGAAACTTGACGAGCAGGATAAGAGGAACGAGGCGATTACGGAGAGACTTGACGCGATAACGGCTGAAAGACGGCACCTGACTTGGAGAGCCAGGATCTCCGATCCGACAGATGGAGTCATCCGGTAGCGGCATAAGAAATCTCATGGCTCCGCCAATGTTCTGTCCCCTCGGTGAACAAACTCTCGCAGCGACCCGAGTCAACATGACCAAGCCGCCCCCACATTGCCGGAATTCAAGGCAACAAGGTGACGAGAAGGAGAATGACGTGATCGATGTGGACGCCCACCAAAGCGACGGAGCTAGAAACCCACAGCAAAGCGGCTCGGCTCGGCAGATTAGTCAGAAAGAACTCGCCTCGGCACTTAACGACATCCAAACTGACGAAGTCACCGACCTAACTCGCGACAGCAATCCAACTGAGGAAGAGGAAAATCTCCAATGGGTCGAGCAGGCGGAATACGAAGACGAGCTGAGGAGGGAAGACCAGGAGCGACCTCGCCCACCTAGGAGAATGACCTGCACGCAGACACAGGAGATCGAAGAATTGCGAGTGTCAATGGCTCGGATAGTGGCAGAGATACGCGTCATGAAATCTCAAGTGCATAACACGACAAGTGCCGTGCCGTAGATTGATCGAGGAAACCCAAAGAACCCCGTTCACGGCAAAAATCACGGAGGCTAGGATTCCCAAGCCCAGGAAAGTCAGAATCCCATTTTACGAAGGCACCACCGATCCGAATGCGTATATCACAGCATTTCGCATAGCAATGGGACGAGCCTTCAGAAAGAACGCTGCCAATCTGACCGAGCAGGAGAAGATGCCGGCTATTGTCTGCTATTCGTTAAACATCTCAAGGGAACCGCATTGGAATGGTTTTCAAGGCAGGAGCGCAACTCGATCAACAGCTTCCAGCAGCTCTCCGCTTTGTTCCTGAAGCAGTATTCGATGTTTGTGGACCGAAGAACTTCCGATGCTGACCTATGGACGCTATCCCAAGGACCAAACGAGCTGCTTCGGGATAACATGGCAAGATTCAAGGCGGTCATGTTAAAAGTAGAAGGAATAAGCGACAAGGCTGCGCTTGAAGCCCTGAAGCGATCCTTATGGTACAAATCCAAATTTCGACGGGAGATGGCGCTCAATACGCCACAGACAATTCATGATGGCTTACATCGATCATCAGATTTTGTCGTAAATGAAGAGGAAATTAAAAATCTGGACGAACAGTACAAAGCAACGAAAGCAGTGATACGGAGCTCAATCCTGACGCGCCTTTCAAGGAAAGGCAATCCCTCGAATAATACGACAATGCAGAATTCGGAAGAATCAAGGAGCGGAGGCGCCCACAGTTACCAAGTAGGCGCTGGACGCGGATGAGGAAAGCCGCACAACAACACTTGGGTGAGAAGGCCAACCAACTATGACGAGAAGGCGTTCTGCGAATATCACCAAACCTACGGGCACTCAACAGCGCAATACCAAACTTTGGGGGCAAAGCTCGCAGCTAAAATGGCAGCAGGATAACTCCAAAGCGCGGTGAATCTTAAGGACCTTGTCCCTGCCGAACCCAAGGAGGGATCCAAGCCGAATAGCGCCGGCAGAACCAACAAATCCGCCCCGACGAGGCGATAATACCAAGCGTGACAGGAGAGGCAAACCCGAAGAGCTATCCGAGCCTAGGCAAAGTATCAACATGATTATGGGTGGATCCCAATATTAACATGACAAAGTGTGCTCTATCAAAGCCTATCAGCGCCGAGCCGAAGCAAAAGAGAATTGGACCGAACCAACCGATCTCCTGAACACGGTGATCTCTTTTTCCAAGGAGGAAATGACAGGGATAGATAGGCTGCACACCGATCCACTGGTGATCGAACTGACGATTAGAGATTATGACTTTGCAAGAGTACTCATCGACACCAAGAGCTCCGTAGATGTTATATTTAGAGAGATACTCAGAAGAATGGGAATCGACCTCTCCGAGGTGACGGCTATCCCTAAGCCTCTATAACTATGGGCACAATCAGGCTCCCAGTGGTGGCTGGTGGAGTCACTAAGATCGTCAAATTCTCAGTCACCGACCACCCAGCAATCTACAACGTGATCATGGAAACTCCATGGATAACCGTAATGAGAGAAATCCCTTCAACCTATCACCTTTGTATCAAGTTCCCGACTCCAGCAGGCATCAAGACGATCTAGGGAAATCAGAAGGAGTCGCGAATGTTTTTCTGACGGAGCACAAATTAAGGAACCATGTTACCGACGCACGCGCGGATATTGATCGCAATAAGCTTAAGACGGATCGAGAGCCCGCGAATGAGCTCTCCAAAATTTTATAGCAATTACAGATCGCAGAGAGCCGCGAAACACGCACTGAGCCAGTATGTGATACGGTGGATTCGGTGTGCATAGACGAAGTGCATCCAGAGAGGCGCGTCGAGATCGGAGCCAAGCTGGAAGAGCCTCTAAAAAACAAACTCCTCTCCTTGCTCAAGGAGAATATCAACACTTTCGCTTGGAGCGCAGAGGATATGCCAGACATAAGCATCGACGTGACCTGTCACGAGCTAAACGTGGATCTGACCTTCAAACCGATCAAGCAGAAAAGGAGGAAGCTCGGCCGTGAACTAGTTTTCTTCTAGCAATTTCGTTTGTTTCCACTTGACTCCATTGGATAATCCAACACCACTTGTTTATCCTCAACTAAATATCTTATGCTATGATGATGAGTATCAATATGTTTGGTTCTTAAATGTTATACAAAGTTCTTAGATATGATGCACTTTTCCATCACATTTAATAAGCAAAGAATCAAGAAAAGTACCATAATCAGAGGCTATATGTTTTATCCACAAAAGTCAGAGTACAGCAACTCCACAAAGCAATGTATTTTGCTTCTACAGTGAACATATCCAACTAAGTTCTGATCTATGTCCAAAGTATAACTGATTCCAAAGTTCAAGATTCCTTTCATATATTTGATGATAATATGTTTCACTGCAGAAAACTGTGATTCTTCTCGATTGGATTATATCTTGCACAAACTCCCCTGCTTAAGAATAATCATGTATGTTGGCTCTAAGATATAGTAGGCTTCAAATCATCCTACACTACAACATTTCACTAACTCTTTTCCAGTCTCGTCCGTTTATAGTTTTGGAGTAGTCCTCTGACAAAGAGAGAAGAGAAAGTTGTATCTTCTTATTCCATCAATCAACGTATATATACATACAAGACTCTAGGGTATTCTAGATATGATTCTATCTAAAAGGAATATTAACATAACTGAATATATTATACAATATTTACATAAGACTCCCTAATACTTTCCCTCAAGTTGGAGCATGCAGATCACGTATGCCTAACTTGCATCTGAGATAAGAAAATTGCTTCGAGCCCAACGCCTTAGTGAAAATATCAGCCAGTTTCACTATAGTGCGGATATGAGCAGTAGCGAGGGAGCCATCGAGAAATTCATCTTGCACAAAATGACAATCTGTTTCAAGGTGTTTTGTCATTTCATGAAAAACAAGATTAGACGCTATCAGTAGAGCCGATTTGCTATCACAATGAAGGCGCATCGGTTGTGTATGTGGGACTCCAAAGCATGAAAGGAGTTCATGGTTCCATTTCAATTCCCTTACAGTGAACCCCATCGCTCTATACTCTGCCTCCGTCGAAGAACATGAAACTGTGTCATGCTTCTTCGTCTTCCACGCGAGAGGAGCGTTTCCTAACATAACAATGAATCCCTTCAATGATCTTCGAGTCATAGGACACGTTGCCCAGTCGGAGTCGCAATACGCTGTTATTTGTAAGTCAGAGTTCGAGGTTAAAAGGATCCCCTGACCGGACAGCCTTTAAGATACTTCACAACTCTTATCGCTGCTTCCCAATGCTTAGTACGAGGCTTTTGCATAAACTGAGCAAGCATATGGACGGCATAAGACAGTTCCGGGCATGTGTAAGTAAGATATACCAAATGACCAACCAACCAACGATACCTTTCTGAATCATGAAAAAATTGTCCTTCGTCGGTAGCCAGTTTGTGATTCTGTTCCATTGGAGTAGAAACAGGTTTTCTGCCCAACAAACCACACTCTTTAACGATGTCTAATGCGTACTTCCTCTGTGACAAGTAAAATCCTTTGGGTGACCGTGAAACCTCAATACCAAGGAAGTATTTCAATAGTCCCAAATCTTTCATATGAAAACATTGGCTGAGATATCCTTTAAACTTCTTGATAGCCTTAGGATCATTACCCCCAATCAATAAGTCATTGACATATATCACTACATAGAGTCTCATTGAGTCACGCACCAAGATAAATGATAACACCGTATTTTGACCACTTTTATAGATCGTTTAAAATACCTTTTCTATGTTTTTAATTGCTTTTAAGTACTTTTATTACATTTTTCTAGTATTTGTAGTTTCAAGACTCTTTTCAGGTAATTTAGAGAAAAGCTTAACAAAATGGATAGAAAACCAGTATTCAGCTCAGAGTCAAACCGTCAGACGTTCACCCCCAATTGAAGGCATTCTCACCGTCTGATCCAGCTCAAATTTGGAGATCTTAAAGATGGAAGTACCAGCTTTCCAGCACACTTTACAGATTGGCAATCCAGCGGTTCAATGAAAAGATACGCGAAGAGCAAGATGTCCCGTAAACCAGCCGGCAAGCGTTTCCACCCGCGGCCAACAGGCCATTCCCCGCGGTCACAACCACCGTGACCGCGGCCAACCACCCATTCCCCGCGGTCACAAACATCTCGACTGAGGCCAGCTAATTCCGACTTTGAAGGCCCATTTCTGAAACCCGTATCATTTTCCCAGCCTCAATTCCGGAACCCTAGACACCACAGAGTATTGGAGACTATAAATACATGTCATTTATGTCGTTTTTAAGAGAGAAGAAGAGAGACGAAATACTTTACAGAAATTTTACTTTAAGCTTTGTTTTTAGGTTTTAGGGAGAGAGAGATCTGTCTCTTGAACCCTTGTTCTTTCTTTTTCAATTTCGGTTTCTGTACTACTTTTTAATACTATGTTTTTGATTTCGTTTATTATGTCTGAGTAGTTTTATTGTTGGGTCTAAGGGATTTTCGATGGGGATATATATGTTCGGTGAGGATTCCATTGGCTATTGAGCCAAATCTTAGAACTTTGTCTTCTGAATTTGTTTTTACTGCATGAGAGTAGCGTCATGAACTACAATCTGATCCAGATGCTTGGTGACACGAAAGTGTTCATCCGGTGTAAGATCTAGTTTGGGAGAGCAAAACAAACATAGGAGTGGAAACCTACCTATGGGCGATTTGTGAATGCTGACGAGTCTTAAACATAATGCACCTCTTCTTTTCCAGGGTCAGACTGGAAACCTACTGGTCAGGGTTGAGAGAGATAGTTGTCTATGATCACGACAGTGGCGTATTCATACGTCCGTGACTCCAGTTCGAAAAGTTTAAGCTAAGATCTTATCAAATTTAATCTCTAGCAATGTTTTGAATCGTTCATACCCCTGAGAAAACTTCCCTGAACCCCAGCGCTTTCTTTTCTTATAGATTTTCACCGATTTTCATTCAAGCTTTAGTCTAGTTTCTTTACTCTTTCAATTGATTTTCACTTAGCAATTAGGTCTAGCCGTTTTTCTCGTTTTTATTCGTTTTCGTTAAGTTTAGTTATTAGATCATTTTAACTCCCGTATTTTCTCTTTAAGATTCGTTTTTACATTTTAAACATACCACCAAAACCCTCACAAAACTCGCCTGGTTCTAGGCTTCCTTACTTTATATTTCTTTCGAAGGCTGTTGCAGGAAAGATCCTTCTTCCCTGTGGATTCGATCCCTAAGTACTACAATCGATCAGCTGTGCACTTGCGGCTATTGATTTCATTTAGGGTAAAACTTGACAACCCTCACACACGACCACATCAATAAACAATGAATAATCTGGTATTTTTTGAACAAAACCATACCCTTTAAGCGCAGCCGTTAGCTTTGCAAACCAACATCTTGGTGCTTGACGAAGACCATATAGCGATTTCCTGAGACAGCACTCTTTTGTTTTATCGGTGGATTGAAAACCAGGTGGCAACTTCATATAAACCTCTTCACGTAAATCTCTATGTAAGAATGCATTATGCACATCTATTTGATGAACCTCTCAACCTTTAACTGCAGAAACCTTAAGGAACATGCGAACCATGGTCATTTTTACGACCGGAGCAAACGTCTCATCATAATCCAAGCCTTCAACTTGTCGGTTCCCATAGGCAACTAACCGAGCTTTATACCGTTCAACCTCACCATTCGACTTGTACTTAATCATGAAAACCCATCAGCATCCAATAGCTTTCTTATTCAGTGGGAGATCAGTAATATCCCAAGTTTGATTTGCCTCCAAAGCTTTAACCTCCGTAGAAGCTGCGTTTCTCCATCGTTCGTCCTTCATTGCCTCGTTAAAAGATGTAGGTTCATGTCCAGTAGTAATAGCTGCAAGAAATGCTCTATGCGAAGGAGAAAATCTGTCATAGTTCACGTAATTAACAATGGGATATGGGATCGTACCTGACTTCGATGACGCTGATGGAGTCGGGTGTGAAGAGAGAGATACGCGGTCACTATGGCACTGTGTCATATAGAGAATAAAACCATCAAGACGAGTAGATTGTGTACGTTCACGCTGATTCCGTCGTACTAGAGCAACCATGGTGTCTATTGGATGTGTCTGCTCCTCTAACACTGGTGTGATCTCTTCCACGAAATCATCACGTGAAGCCTCACTCTCCCTATCTTCGTCACTCCCCTTGTCTTCGATCACTGGTTGTTTTGTGTTTGCATTCAAATCAATAAGCTCACCATCAAATAAGACTCCTTGTTCTTGTAAAGATATCTGAGGCACCACCTTGTCCTGAGTCGTAGATGACCATGGGAAAACGTTTTCTTCAAATACTACGTCTCGAGAAACAAAGATTTCATTTTCCTCCATATCCCATTGATAACACCGTATTTTCACCACTGTTATGGATCGTTTTGAAATATTTTTTCTATGTTTTTTTATTGCTTTCAAGTACTTTTATTACGTTTTTCTAGTATTTGTAGTTCCAACACTCTTTTCAGGAAATTTAGGGAAAAGCTTAACAAAATGGATAGAAGACCAGATTTTCAGCTCAGAGTCAAACCGTTAGAAGTTCACCCCCGATTAAAGGCCTTCTCACCGTCTGATCCAGCTCAAATTTGGAGATATCAAAGATGAAACTATCAGCTTTCCAGTACACTTTACAGCTTGGCAATCCAACGGTTCAATCAAAAGATATGCGAAGAGCAAGATACCCCATAAACCATCCAGCAAGCATTTCCACCCGCAGCCAACAGCCATTTCACCACGGTCAGAGGCTACCCGACCGCGGCCAAGCACCCATTCCCTGCAGCCACGCACTTTCCGACCGCGGCCAGCCAACTCTGAGTTAGAAGGCCCATTTCTGAAGCCCAAAATAATTCCCTCATTTGGAAAAACCCTAAGTGACGCCCATAGATGTCATGAGCACTATAAATACATGTTTTAGGAACCCTAATTCATATCACCTCATATGCTCTTGTTGTTTTAGAATACTTTTTAAGTTTTAGCTTTTAGGGAGAGAGAGATTTGTCTCTTGAACCCTTGTTCTTTCTTTTTCAATTTCGATTATTGCTCTACTTTTTAATACTATGTGTTAATTTTGTTCATCATGTCTGAGTAGTTTTATTGTTGGGTCAAGGGGATTTTTGATGGGGATTCCATGAGCTATTGAAGCCGAATCTTAGAACTTTTTCTTCTGAATTTACTTTTACTGCATGAGAGTAGCGTCATGAACTACAATCTAATCCAGATGTTTGGTGACACGAAAGTGTTCATCCGGTGTCAAATCTAGTTTGGGAGAGCAAAACAAACATAGGAGTGGAAACCTACCTATGGGTGATTTGTGAATGCTGACGAGTCTTAAACATAATGCATCTTTTCTCTTCCAGGGCCAGAGTGGAAACCTACTGGTCAGGGTTGAGAGAGATAGTTGTGTATGATCACGACAGTGGCGTATTCATACGTCCGTGACTCTAGTTTGAAAAGTTTAATCTAAGATTTTATCAAATTTACTCTTTAGCAATGTTTTGAATCGCTCATACCCCGGAGAAAACTTCACTGAAACCCATCGCCTTATTTTCTATAGATTTACATTGATTTTATTTCAAGCTTTAGTTCATCATTTTCATTCTCTTAATCGATTTTCATTTAAGCAATTAGGTTTAGCGGTTTTCATTGTTTTTAGTCAATTTCATTAAGTTTAGTTATTAGGTCATTTTAATTCCCGTATTTTCTCGTTAAGGTTAGTTTTTACGTTTTAAAGACACCACCAAAACCCTTACAAAAATCGCATGGTTCTAGATTTCCTTACTTTATATTTCTTTCAAAGCTTTTGCAGGAAAGATCCTCCTTCCCTGTGGATTTGATCCCTAAGTACTACAATCGATCAGCTGTACACTTGCGGCTATTGGTTTCATTTAGGGTAAAACTTGACACCCTCACCACACGACACATCACCCATACTCGCCACCCTTTCTGTCCAAAAGGATAACCCATAAATGCACATCATCGACTTTTTCCCCCAAATTTATCTTTGTCTCGCAAGATGTTTCGTGCAAAACATAAGCTCCCAAACACCCGAAGAGAATCATAGTTCGGTGCTACCCCATATAGTATCTCAAAAAGAGTTTTCCCATCTAGTAAACTGGTTGGAGTGCGATTAATAAGATGACATGCTGTCAAAACACACTCACCCCAAAACTGTATCGGAACACTAGCTTGAAACATCAATGATCTTACGACATTGAGATTGAGAGGAATTTCCTCTGGTTCAAGCCGTCACAGTGAAGCCAACTGCGTCGGGAGCAGTCTCTTTATTTTTTGTCATCATCAGTTGTCTCTCTTCGCGGACAATGCGCTGATAGACCTGTGTGAGTTAGGAAGTGGCTCCAAGCTCCGAATAGTAGAGCGCACAGTCCCAAACCTCTCTGTGTCCAATCCCGTAAGAAACGTATAAGTCGTTCTTCTTCACGATTTTCCTCAAGTTGTGCTTTAAGTTCACTACAAGAGCACGTTCTTATTGGTTTGTATATCGTCAACTCATCCTACATCTTCTTCAGTTTTCCGAAATATACCATGACAGAGTCTCCATTTTGTTGGCATTTAGCGGTATCTGCTCTAAGCTCGCTGATGCGCGGCCCGTTTCCAACCGAGAACTGCAGTTTTAAATCGTCCCACAGCTCCTTCAC